TTGCCTTTTTGTGCGATCTCTCTAGCAATGTCATGTTGTCATATTCATCGCTGTCACTCAAAACACGTTTAATTGGACGTTTCAATTTCTTGCATTTTCTACATAGCCATGGGGATGAGTGAATATCTTCTTCGCAATCACAGTGATACCAAGATTTGCAAGAGGAACAACAAATCATTTTAGTTTTCATGTCAGGCAAGTTGCAGTGGCAATAAAAAGAAGGTTTAATGATGAATTTAGTTCCTGACGACTCTCTGGGAGAGTTAACAAATTGTATGCCTTCAAATGTTTTGCTTCTTAAAGCTTTAATGAGATGTTTTCTCAAGTTCTTTAAATTGAAATATGTTACTTGAGGGTCCATTTTGCGACATAAACATAGTGCAAAGAATATGGCAGCTATTCCGCTATCTGAATCTCTAAGACTGGAAACCGTATCAGCAACATGAATCTCAAATTTGTCGTTTTTTGGATGCCTAAGCCTTGCCGCATAAGCCTCGATCGAAATATCATATTTGCATTCTCTTTTATTATTCGAAAGATGATTCCTTGAAAGGCTGTCATACAAGTGGATTTGTTTATCTGAAGATACCATATTTGATAAAGTTCCCCAATCAGTATATTTTTTGGAATCATTTAGTGGTATAATTTGTATAAACCTATTGCCAGAGCCCCAAACAGTCAATAAGTCAGATATTTGATGGAGTCCTTCCACATTTTGGAATTCGCGCCGCATTACACCCATGGCAGCATTGATAATCGAAGAGGATACTGGCAAACCCAAATCAATATCATGCAGATGATTTTCGTTGAGATCAAAGGGTGCATGATCGGACGATGTAACCTTATTTTCACTTGAAAATGACGTAACATGTACGAAATCATGTCCGCAACCACTACCTGTATTTTCGTCAAACCTCTTAGCTGTTCCGGCTTCGTCGTTGGTAACAAAAACAATACTATCATCTATGTTATCAGCAAGAATGCTGTTTTCTGTTATTTGAAAAAAAATTTCATTTGTTGAAATTGCAGTGTAACTTTGGTTAGGAGAAGGTAATTTTGAGGAAGCCCTACTGCTGTCCTTACCTCTATTGACACCACTGGGCGAGGAAGTCCAATTCTTCGCACTGCCCTCATGCAAGAATCCATTGACAAATTCTTCGTAATCAGGGACTAAAGCAGGCTCTTCAACAGTCAAAAAATTAGATTGTGCCTCGTTGGGTCCCTTGTTGGAATCATTGGATCGCATTGATTCGAAGAATTTGTCATTGGAATCTTGTCTGTCACTGCATTTATCTCTTGTCAAATCAGAATAATCCCTCCCTTTTCCACTTGTATGGCAAAATATTGCGCGTCCAAAGAGGTCATACCTAACGTTGAGTTTGGTCCTTTTTTCCATTTCTGAAACGACAAATAGATTTCTAGATTCATTCACTAAATCAATAATCGAGCGAAACATGAAACTGTGGTTGGATGGTGACATTTTATTTAAAAAATACCTGTTTAAATTAAACGAGCCATGGATTTGCTCTGCAACCTGACTATTGATTTGACCCGAAAGTTCCTTAACACAAGCTATACGGCGGAGAGCTTCGACTTCATTAGAGGTATTTTTTTCGTGGAGTCGGTCGAAAAGTGCTAAATGGTGTGCACTACCTGTTACTGGGTGAGAATTAGGTTCTAAATTTCTGTTTGTGTTACAATCTGAATTTATCCAAGGAAAGGATACCTGTAATGTTCCGTCATTTGCCATTTGCACATTCTCATTTGTTGACTCAGCGGCTCGGCCATCGTTTGGTGAGAAAAATCCAATGAACTTTCTGTTAGCAAATGCTGATACGATGTGGGCCATATCATTTATAAATATGTTTGGCCTATGCCGGAGTCCACGTAAAATATCTAAATAATCTCGGGGGCTCTCGGAACGAAGCAGAAATTTAATGGCATAGATAATTCCATGCTGACATGCGACTGTCAACCATCCACCAGAAAACCCAAACATTTTCCTAAATATTTTATTGAATTTTATATTATTCTTTCCCAAACCTGTTTTGATACGATTTATTATATCTAATTTTGATCCTTTTGCGGCCACTCCTAGTTTTTTAGCAAGTAACCTGACCTCTTTGGACGTGCTTTCAAATAAAGTTTCTAACAGACGTTCTTCCGACATTTCCCTACACTCTATTTCAATGTCGTCATTTTCGGCATGAACTTTCTGATGCTCCGAATTATAAATAACGTCGCCAATTCTACTTTTCTCACCAATATATGGAGCCCAATTGGATAATTTAGGAGATACCGTCATTTCATTTACCTTGCGTCCTCGACATCCCCTGCTCACCATTTCCATTGTAACATCATCCCAAAACTTTTTGCAGTCTACTTCATCTGCATCTGAATAATTTTGTTCCTCAGTTTTTTCATCGGGTTCCCTGTACTTAAAAGCGACTTTGCGATTAACGTCGGCTATAAGAATATGTGGGTAATAGCCACATTCGACACAGTTGAATTCGTACGTGCGATTGCTAAGGCTTTCAAAATGTAAATACGAATTTAGAATTAAATTACTATCGAGTTTTGTCTTCAGCAATCCCTCAGCAAATGCACATACTTTTCCAACCGCCATATGATTTTTCAAGCATTCACGCAGGAGATTGCAGAAGTCTAGCCCTATCAAAAAAATATCGTCAAAATTGTGGACCCCATCCTTATATTCTTCATATCTATAGTAACTGTCACATTGTTCACATTTGGCAAAAAAGGTTTCGATCGAATCTAGAAATCCTGTTAGAGTCAATACTCTTGCATTCCGGGTTATCCTAACTGGGCGGCTCAGTTTTGTCTTACAAATAAGGCATTCAGTCTCAATTGGTTTAAAAGATCTTGGTATATCTTTTTTTGATACCTTAACAAATTCATCTGGGAGCGGGAAAGGAATAGTTTTTTTTGAAAGGGAATACTTTATCATATTTTGTACAGCATTTGGTGACTTTGGTGGATACAACAAATCTTGAGGTTGTTTACATGTTTCGTCGTTGATTTCTTGCGTATTTGTTAAAAAGGTGTAATTGCACGGGGATCCATCATTTATTTTCTAAAAAACGGTTTAACTTCACCCGTTAGCGTGAATTTTCGGTTCTTGCATGAGCCGTACACGGAGCCAGCTCCGCCAGAAACCAAGTGTCGACCCCGAACATGGTGGGTGATTAATGCAACCCTCAAAACCCTAAAATCTTTAAATAAACTTGTTAAAAAGGTTGAATTGCACGGGGATCCATCATTTATTTTGTAAAAAACTGTTTAACTTTACCCGTTAACGTGAATTTTCGGTTCTTGCATGAGCCGTACACGGAGCCAGCTCCGCCAGAAACCAAGTGTCGACCCCGAACATGGTGGGTGATTAATGCAACCCTCAGAACTCTAAAATCTTTAAATAAACTTGTTAAAAAGGTGTAATTGCACGGGGATCCATCATTTATTTTGTAAAAAACTGTTTAACTTTACCCGTTAACGTGAATTTTCGGTTCTTGCATGAGCCGTACACGGAGCCAGCTCCGCCCTCCGCCAGAAACTAAGTGTCGACCCCGAACATGGTGGGTGATTAATGCAACCCTCAAAACCCTAAAATCTTTAAATAAACTTGTTAAAAGGGTGTAATTGCACGGGGATTCATCATTTATTTTCTAAAAAACGGTTTAACTTCACCCGTTAGCGTGAATTTTCGGTTCTTGCATGAGCCGTACACGGAGCCAGCTCCGCCCTCCGCCAGAAACCCCGAACATGGTGGGTGATTAATGCAACCCTCAGAACTCTAATATTTTTAAATAAACTTGTTAAAAAGGTTGAATGGCACGGGGATCCAATAATAATTTTGTAAAAAACGGTTTTATTTTGGTTGAAATCTTGCTGTTTTTGAGGTTACTTGCTCGTTGCTAGAACAGAGGGAATCCCCATATTCGAAGCCACCTTAGGTCGACACTTAGCCGTGGGAGCCATTATTTGTTTGCGAATCGCAAGATGTCGTGGTAGTATTCTTGAAAATTCTTAGGTAGTTGTGCGATTAAACTGTTCGAAAAACACTGGAAATTATTCTTGAAAGATAGGGGAACATTTTGATACATTAATATTGTGCATTGGCTACGGTTTTGTGTTTGCTTATCGATTTTGAAAATTCGACATGAGCCGTACATATTTGACATGAGCCGTACAATTTGCATGAGCCGTACAGCTCCGGCCCAACATCGCTCAATCATTTTGTTCCTTTTTCAACAATTTAAAACAACAAAGTAAAATGATAAAAGCTTCCTTGGCCAAGCCCAAAACTAAAGGTTTCGCTTCAAAACAATCTGAACTTAAGAAATCTTCAATGATGGAGAAAAACTGGTGTATATACAGGATAATTTTTCTTTAAAAAACTATCGTCGCACTGTCGGTATGACACCTTCATTTCAAATTTTTGACAAGGCCAACCAAAAACATGCAATTTTTGTTTCATAAAACTTGTTAAACCTTACTAAAGCTATTTATTCCCAGTTTAATCCACATAGCTGCAATAATTCAATATTCACTAAAGCTTGAGGCTTTTTGCAGCTACATCTAAGCTGCCGACGAAGCCGAAGGACAACAATAGGCCATCTTTTAGGCCGCAGATTTGTTTACTTGGACACTGTCCAATAACACACTCAAGCAGCCTATACTATGTTGTATTTAAACATCATGGACCTTCTTTACTTAAAAATGGAATTTACTTTCATATTTACCACTGAAAAGATGCTTGCTTCGAGAACTGAGAATAAAACAGCCTTGAATTGCAAAAGCAGCAATGGCGGACATCGGACAGCAACCTTCGCCTTTGCTCCTCCTCAGGCATTGTGCACAGCCAAAAATTTACTACAAGGGGCCGGTGGAAAAGGGTGATATGGTTCCCCGACCCCTCTACATTTACGATATGAATCTATTACGGTCCTAATCTGAAGAAAACAAATAACAAAAACTAACAATAAATTGCAATCCCACTATTAAAGTGAAAAAAGTCAAATTCGAGTTCTACATAGACAATATTGACAAATGGAATAAATTACAACAATCCTGGATCAAGCCGCAACTATAATTGATTTTCATTAAATTTAACAACAAACGCGTACTTGACAGGCCTTCTCAAATTCTGCGTGCCCTCTGCGTGAGAGTTGAAATCGCTCAAATATATTTTAACTCGACAACCATATTACTATTGCCAAATTTAAGAAACCAACAATAGCTTTTGCAATTTCTTATAAAAAAGATGTTTTGTAAGAAAAAGACTATTTCAGGAGCTCGTAACGAAATAAAGTATTTCAGGATAATGTTTTTTCTTACCATCTATTCAGAAGAAAGAAGTGACACAGCTATTGCTTGCATAAAAGAAGCATAAAGAGTTCCTTAGGATTTAAGAACGTTAGGATATCACGCTTCTACTTAATCTCACGCAGTGTCAGTCTGGGGGTTGTTTGAAAGATTTGAAATTAACCAAAGATTTTAAAATAGTTCTCGTATCTTCCGAAAGTAAAAACAAAAAATATATATATATGCGGAAATTATTGCAAATTCTCATTAAATGAAGTTTGAGGCAGAACGCTCAAGATTTTGCTAAGAAGAAAGATTTATAAACTGTTGACGGTGGAAAATTTCAAAGATGAAGAAAGCTAATTTGGTGGGAATTTGTTTGAGTTGAGTCTAGATTGACAACAAGCCTTTTACACCTGAATTATCGCCAAATCTTTGTAGGCTTTTACTAATGCTGACGTCATTGTCAGGATCCTTGAAGATGACGTCACTGAAAGACCAAGGTTTCAGAAATACTGTAGTCGAAGTAACTAACGAGCTAATCGTTTCAAAAATTTGTGTTTTCTAGCAATTCTGACGTCTGACAGTACTTAAGAAAAAACTACAAATGTCCAGCAATTTACATATATCAAGTAATAAAATCTCAATAAATTTATCTCTACTTAAGGGTCTCCCTTTACACCGAATTAGATGGTTCATTAATTTTTTCTACCAAAGGTTCAATAAGCGAATTTCCATTTATCAGTTTTGTCGTGGCAATAACGAAATCTGTCGGCGCGTTTTCCTGCTGCGCAAGGAACCTCAGCGCACTGACTTCTGCGTGAGTACATCCACCAATAAAATAAACCAGGGTAATTTTCGACGGCCCGTCTCCACTTGGCCCACTCCCTTGCCCGCTTTGACTTTTCTTTAAAAGAGCCGGGGGCACGTACTGGACCTCTTCAATTGTAGGGCCTGGTAGTTGTCTCATGACTTCTTCTAGGCCATGCCAGCTAGACTGCCTGGCAAGAAACTGGGCGAGACGGACCGACAGAGGGGCATAACCGGAATAGGTGTACGCTATATCATTCGGGTTTTGCTCATGGACATCTTCCACGACTAATCCTAACGATTTTCGGATTGTCCCATACGACTTTGGCGCGGCACTCTTCAACAAACCAACTTGTTCTAAGTTATTAAGTGTTAGCAGATGCTCAAAACCATACGCATTGATAATTTCCCTGCGATAGTAATCAAACAGCTTGGGTTTGAATCCATTGTTGGCAACGCACTGCAGGCATATAAGGCGCAAAACTCTGTGAAGAGGGTGCTTATAACCAATGCATTTGTCTATGTAGGCATTAAATTTGTCTGTGTCAATACCATTGAAAAATTCTTGCTCAATTCTGAGTGCCTCTCGAAACTCTTCTGAATCTGTGTGCTCTTTGACAACCTAAAAGAAATATAGAGAGATGGTTTACAATAGCTTAGACACTGCTAAGAATTTTTTTTTTTTTTATTCACATAAAAATTTACAACGACAACAATTACAATACAAAAGCCTAGGGAGCATGGAAATGCATAACAACCCTAAGACTTACACTTAACATAGCGATACAATTTTTACAATAATAAGCTACAAAAGTGATTGGAGTGGCGTCGCCCATCGTTCCAATAGCGTTGCAGATATGACAAATACTCACAAAAGCTATTTTTAAAAGAAGATATCAAGTCTACTGCTAAGAATGACAATACATTACATGGAGCAATAGGAAGATACACGGCCTTTAAGGGATCGAGGGGACCTATTAAGAATAGACATATAGTAGACTCACAGTAAACATCAATATCTGCATCGATAACATTTTATTCAAATATCCCTGATTTATAGCAAAATCTCACTTTTATTAGTCTTTTTAAAAACTGTCTAAAATAAACTTGCCACCATTTATTAAAAATTGGCCAAATAAAACTTGTGTCGACAAGGGTGCTAGTGCTTACAGTTTCAAGTTAAATAACGACGATAAATTTGCAAGCAAGACTGTGAAACAGTGTGGTGTTTGTAGTGTGGCATTGTTTCTTGATCTTATACAAAAACTATCACTGAAGGCAAATATTGGACCATTCTACGTCGTTGGTTTTCTAAACGGACACAGACTGATGCACAGAACATAATGTCCCATTAGCAGCATAGTTTTTATTTTAACGTGCTTACCTCAGCAATACCAGTATGCAATGCAAGGGAAGACTTTGCAGCTTGAATATGTGGTATCTTATGCACGAATTCTTTCATTTCTCCTACAGTTTTTGCTGATCTGTGTTCTTCATACTGCGCTGTGATGCGTTTGGCCTCCCTACTCAAAACAGGACCAACAGCTGAAAAGTTTATGTCCCGTATCTCACTGTACAATGCATCAGTAGAATTCAATGCTACTTTACGCGGCTTTTGTTGGTCCTTTGGTGTTTGTTGCTTTGCAGCTCCTCGCGTTTCTTCCTTGATAGGAAATTTGTCCACTGGCAGTTGGACGTTAGTATTCTCAATATTGAAAACTTCATCAATAAGGCCTTCATATGTAAGCTGAGTTAGCAAAGGTGTCATTAGATCGACAGTTCTGTCAATCAAAAATAAACTGTCAATCACTGGTGTTATTTGCGACTCAGTGTCTGCCAGCTCTCTTCTCTTACGGATGATCATATCAGTCACATGCCTTGACATCTCTCCTTTACCAAAAATCCTATATGAGAATATCACATTTTACGCTAGAGTTATACAAGCACCTATGCTAACCCCGTTTGAATTAAACAGGCAATCCCAGCTTCATTGCTAATCGTCTGGGTGTAAAGTTTCGAGTGATGTGCCACCTCTTTGATGCTAATTAATACATTTTTACTTCCTTTTTTAGGACAGCCCATTTTTTAGACCTACATCCTCAATTCAATGTACTTCATTGGCGTTTTTCAAACTAACAAAACTCCTAAAAACGCCATGTTGCTTTGAAAAGAAATTTTTTTTGCTACAAGGACTTCTAGCATACCCCTTCTCTCCCAAAACATTGTTATTTGTAGAATTAAACATCCTAAGTATCTGAATTCATTGGGCCACATCAAACATTTTTTACAATACTGTCCGGAAGGGGGAGATGAGGATGCAGGGTACCAAGAGTATGACGGGGTTTCTAGCATTCAATGAAATCGAAAAGGTTGATCATGAGCATTAATTGCATTTATAAAGATGCTGACCAGTTACAAGAAACAGATGAAATAAGTAGTTGGCTTACTTTGGTATGACACCAAAAAGGGCCTGCAACTTCATTAGAGACTCTGACACATAATACAATGAAGATGGATCTTTTTCAAGATAGCATTCATAGAACGATGGTTCATACTCCATTGAGAGCAAATCATGTTCAAAGGGGACGAGATTCAAAGAATATTGTTGGATGTTTGCAAATGTGCCATAGATTCCTTCTCTCTAAAAAGAAAAGAGATGCCTGGTAAAAAGGGTTCTTTAATCAATCATGGCAAAGTTTGATTCAAAAGACAATTTAAAATTATCTTTGCTTATATTTATATACCTCAGGAGCAGCCGCAATATTTGAACATATCTTTTTGCATTCAGTTTTTTAGAAGCTGAAATCCAGGAAGTGAAAATTCAAACATTTTTCAGGATTCAACAAAAACTGAATTTCACCATGCCAGTGTCCTCTACAAAATGGCCTACTGATATGGACCCCAGATACGTGGTATATAAATATAAATCTTGTCTGGTGCAAACATTGCATTAATGTTCCAAAAGATAGTGTTCATAAGAAACCCATTGGTAAAATCTGAAATCTTCAAACTACTAATATTAACAAAAATATGCCATAAGCATATAAAATACTGTATTTTGAGATATGGCATTCATTTCCACAGTTTATAAACAAGGGACAAAGCAGAAGAACCCAGTAACAAACAGAAGAACCCAGTAACAAGCAGAACAACCCAGTAACAAGCGAAGCAACCCAGTAACAAGCGGGACAACCCAGTAGCAAGTGGAACAGCCCAGTAACAAGTGGAACAACCCAGTAACAAGCAGAACAACCCAGTAACAAGCGGAACAACCCAGTAACGAGCGGAACAACCCAGTAACAAATGGAACAACCCAGTAAGGAGCGGAACAACCCAGTAACGAGCGGAACAACCCAGTAACGAGTGGAACAACCCAGTAACAAGCAGAGGAACCCAGTAACAAGCAGAACAACCCAGTAACAAGCAGAACAGCCCAGTAACAAGCGGAAATAAAAATTACTTCCTAACTTGAGCTTATTCATTTGCAGACGCATGATTAATCCAAGCTTGTTTGAGCAAGCATGTAGTCAATCAAGTCTCCCACCTGTTTTATAATGCAAATAACTCAAGTTTCTGTCCCTCCCTTCACTTGATTGTTCTGCCTTCTTTTCTGTCATTTTTCTCTTATTTTCATAACATAACCCATTGTTCGACAAGTGTGTCAGTCAGATTCACCAGGTAAAAAGAGATGTGCCGTGGAACAGGGTGTCCTTTTTTGATAAAAATCATAGGGCATTACAAATTGCATCAGAATTCTGGGACAGGGTATTAAATATTTATAAACAATTAGTGTGTTGATCTGTTTATCTGTTTTTACAGAGTTTTCTTAGAACTAGGATTGTCCAGTTATGCTAGCATGTGCCCAGTCCACAAATGCTGCCACATTCATAGACTATACAATATTGATAAATATCCTGTGCAATTTCCACCAGAAACTGGTGGTAATTTATGCAGCCCTCCAAAATTATGCCATTAGTTGAAATTGTCAATGGTTCATTGAACTCATCATGCACCATCTTATTTGTTCTGTTTGGTTTCAGTCCATATTTCTTCAAGGGAATTTCATGCAACATTTCAATGGTTTAATTGCATAAATTATTTTCCTTTGCCTGGACAGGTTATTTATCAGCTGAATAGACAATGTTTCATTCCTTTACAAGATTAGAAGGTCCAAGCAGAGGTGGAAAAAACTTTTTTCTTTCTGGGAACCTAAGTATCTGGCTAAAAACTTTCTGCAAGATTTCAAGGTGTAGACAAACAAACTTTCTGTTTGTGCCTACAATACTGTATTTAGCTGAAGAAATTCAAGACGTTTATATGCAACTGACTATGAGTAGGCCTAACTCAACATATTAGATATGGCTTTACTTGATGCATAAATGCACATAAAAGGGAAATCAACTTTAGCCAGAAACTTATGCATTTAGTCAATCATCGTGATGGAAAAACCAAAATCAGAAGGCAATAATTTCTAAACATAGTTTCAGAAAAATCAGGGGCAAAATCATTTGAATTGTATGGTGCATTTTACGGAGAAGGCTTAACACAGCCTATTCTTTGACAAGTGTGAAGAAATATATGGTTGAAATGGAGTCCTAACATGCACCAAATTACTTTAACCAAGCATATTAACTTATGATCAATGCTGCTCACACCATAGTACAAGAAATAATTTCTGTGAAAGTAGATTCCAGTCCCTATATTAATCTCAGTCTAAACAATGGTTTGTCTAAAAAGCTCAGCTGCCAAAAAAATTTTTGATGGTGAGTGGTTGAGATTTCTGTGAGATGGTGAATGTGCACAAAGAATTTCTTTCCAATGGAAAGAGGCTATACCCGACAGTCCATTGGTAGCTCATATTTAGATGCTTACAGGCAAGTTGAAATAATATTAAATGCTGATTTGACTTAACTCTTGTCACCAGATTTTTACATTTACTTTAACACTTCAAAACTTTTCTGTGAAACTTTCTGCTAATATTTTCATCCAGAAAAATTTCTGGGAACTACGTTTCCAGGTTCCGATACTTTTTCCACCTCTGGGTCCAAGTTTGTCTTGTCAGTGCCAAGTTTAGGCTTCAAATTGCAATTGATGAACAGAACCATATAGCTACCATTGTGTTGGGGGGAAAGGCTCTGGCCCCCTTCAAAATTATAGAAATCCTTTGTTTACAATTTAAACAAATCCTTTTAGATCCCATCCCTAATTAGTGTTATCAAACTACATATGTTGCCCCTCAGCCCTCAACAATTAAATCTTGACAATACTAATGTAGATCATAGAAAAATCATTGATGCAAAAAGAATACCATTTAAATCTGACATACTTGCAATTTCTGCTCGCAAAGAAGGCTTGACCTTGGAACAAAAAAGATATGATACTCCTTTGTGCTTCCCTGCTTTTCCTCTTTAGAAACATTTTCAATAATTGTATCCATCAACTCAAGCTTTGGCCTGACAAGAAATATTATGTTGCGTTCATCGCATGGGGGCAACCTGCCTTTAGCTAATGGAAACATTTTACCAACATCATGTTCTTTTAGCAAGCTGTATTCAGCGATTAGGCCAACCGGACCAGTCAGCTTCTCATCCCAAACAATCGCCTTACTGCCCGGACAGCGATCAATGCAGTTCAGGAGCTCCCTTCTTGCAGTTTCTCTTACTTGAGCAAGGTTTACTTTACCACTTGACAAATGAGACATTTTTGTAGAAGACGATTTGAAGTATAACTAGTTTACACCATTGCAGTGAACATGGAAGTTGGGTGCAAGTATGTCCACTTCGCAGAGGCATTGATATCCTCCGCAGGCAAACTGTCATCACAGGATCTCCAAATCAAAGGACGGGATTCATACCGTAAATCCTCGAATTGCCCCCCCCCCTTCGAAAAAGCCCCCCCCCTCGAATAAGCCCCCAACCTAGAACTACAGTTTTTAATAAGCCCCCACCCTCAAATAAGCCCCCACTGCTACCGTAAATTCTCAAATTGGACCCCTCAATTTGATTATTTTTGCCATCTGAGGTCGCCTATGGCGTTTTATTGAATTACAACAACAAATTCATACTTTTGGTAGTAATTAATTAAATGCTCATAAAGAAAAACCTATCAAAATAAACGAGGTCTTTTAATAATGTCTTCTTAATGTCAACAATGATTCTATAAGCCCCCTCCCCCTCGTATAAGCCCTCCTCGAATAAGCTAAGCCCCCATCCACAAATATAAAAAATAAATAAGCCCCGAGGATTTACGGTATGCATATTGTCAGAAAGCTTTCGTCTAGCAGCTTTGGAATATTCATATTTTCAACCGGACAAGATATGGAGAGGTCACCTGATATTCCAAATGTATCTTATCTATGTAGTGGTAGGTATGTCATCATAATAAGATATTACCGGGGAAGAGGGTGGGTTTTATTGGAAAATAACGAGAGCTGTAAATTTGATGCTAAAAACTTGTTAGCAGGGATGGGGAACGTGTCCTCTAGCAAATAATTATGTCTTATACCTGTTGCGGTAGCAGATCCCTTCCTTGGTAAGAGGAACAACTGGAAAATATCTGTTTTGTTTTTAAATGTACCCTCTCGGTCAAGAAAGCGGGGGGTATTTCCATTGCTCTCGTGACGTACAGAAGCATGCAGGCAAGCTTGCATTTAAAGAGGCCAAGGAGGAGCAAAACCCCAAGAAAAAGGGCAAAACGATTGCAAAATAAAAACTGCTAAGTTTCGCGAGGGAAAGGGGGGGGGCCACTCTCCCCAGTTCCCCTGGATACATGTTTCCTTGGAAGCTATACCTTTTGCTATTATAGTTGTCAAGTCCTTGTGAGCACTAAATGTTAAAATCAAAGAACTAAGACTTCTGTAAAGCTTCTTAGAATATTGGGGTATAACTACACAGAGTAGAGCAAGCATATGATTCATTTAAGAGGATAGACTGAGACACTCGATCATTAAATGAGAATAGTTTGCGAATAATAAAACTAATAGAACCAACAGCTTTATAGAAGGGCATATTTTTCAAGATATGACATGATGACGTGACGCCGAGAAAACACAAACTCACAAAACATGAAAATCGTGCAAAGGGAATTTAAAACACAGAGACGTAATCATAACTCTGGGGCTACAAGTATCTTGCTATATTTCGAGAAAAGGAAGTTTTTTGAAAGGCATAATATTTGCAATAAAATCTTACCAGCATAAAAAGCAAAGCTCGTTAGCTCGTGACTGCCATTAAGGTAAGGAGAGAAACATACATTAATTATATTTCACTATACTGCTGTATATAAAAGCAGTAATTTTAACACAAGAAATAATTATAATACTGCCTGTATGCTTGTTATTAGGGTTAGGCCTTTGTGCTAGGAAAGCCGCAGTGTAATGGGGGATGTGTCAAAAACAGAATCTGAAGTTTTATCTCACTTCAAACAAACTAACAAACAGCATATTAATTAATCAACTGCTTTGGAAGTGTGGAAAGTGATGAAAGACCTTCTACTAAAAACCATAATGACTTCTTTGGCGTAATTATATATAAGAACTGTACTGCTTTATATACAAGGGTAAATATGTAGCAGGTGACATAAAGAATAACTTTATAAGCTGTTCAATTCTTAGAAACCATTTAAATGATCAAAGGCATTCCGGGTTGAGATCAAATCATTTAAATTATCAAAGGCATTCCGGGTTGAGATCAAATCATTTAGATTATCAAAGGCATATCGGCTTTGAAAAGTTGGCTTTCTTTCCTTTCGTTAGATTTCCAACCTCGGGTGAGATTCAACTCTTGTTTAAAACTTAGATAACTTTTCCCCTGTTTGTTTAGTCGGCAATAATTCTATATCTGGCTACCAGAGGAGAAAAAGTTCCAAAGTTCACATTAATATTCCAAGAAGGGACATCACGGGTTGAAAAAGAAGGGACATCAATTTCAACACGGGTTGAGAAAATGAGTTGGACTCACTGCGGGCTGTTCTCTCAAGAATCGCAGCAAAACACAATGGATTTCTTTAGCTGTCCGGATTGACTTTCTTATGTAAATCGCCCCTGACTAACCAGCCCGCCAGGATTTTCAGCAGCACCAACAAAACATAAGATTCCTTCAAAAACTGGCGAAATAACTTACATAGCGCCTTTGTCTTAACTAACAAAATTGGAATTCATTGATAATGTACTTTGCTTGTGTCAAAAAACACTACCATATCGAGAATATTTAATGTACTCCACAAACAAACTATCGTCTACCCTTGGCAAATAAAACAAAAATGGAACTAAGCTTATGGTTATTGGAGATAACGAAGAAAAGAATAATCTAAAGCGAGGCCAATAGGTATACTAGGATAAGAAATTTTAGCAAATGTCGCATGCTATTTTATACAACGATCAAAGTACACACTGCCAATATACCCTCCACGCATTGATCTGGCTACGTTTTGCTCAAAGAGTCTTCTGTTTTGCCTAAGGATTTCAGCTGCGTCTGTGAAGTAGAGAAAGTTTTTCATGTCAAAAAACAATTGGATTTTTTTATATGATCAAGAATCTTTTCTAAGCATGATTGTATAGCCCTAACCCTAACCCAACCTTATCCATAATCCGAACCCTAACTAGGGGTGTGCCGGGTCAGGACTTTCAGTATCCGGCCGGAACCGGATTTACCGGATCTTTTCGTAGAATTCGGCCGGAATGTCCTGCCAGATTTTGCCGGATAATCCGGCCATTGACAGATTTTTCTGTTTCTTTTCTTTCATCATAACCTTGGAGGACTTTCACTTTTGAAAAACTGCTGTTGTTTGGGACGCTTTCACCCTTTTTAATTACGTTGAGGTTTGTTCTATTGCTTTTAATTATTGTTTGTTGCATTTACACTTTTACATTGGTCTAGAAATTTTCGTTGTTCCAATAATATTTTTGGAATGTCCGTTAACTAGCCGGACTTTGAAAACAAATCCGACCTTAACCGGATTTTCAAAATATCAGGAACCCGACGCCACTTTTTCCGGCCTATCGAATAGCCGGTACACCCCTAACTCTAACTCTAATCCTAACTCTAACACTTACCCTAACTCTATGTATAGTCTTGTGACTAATTTTTTTTGTAGAATTGCTAACAGGTCAGTTTGAAAAACAGATGTAACTCTGAAATTTACAAAGCTGCATAAACGTTCAAAGGAAATTAAATACCAAATTTAACGATACAGCTTTCTACACATTTTCCCTTTAACTTTTCTTGGATACTTTAGAAAACTTTTCCCAAACGCTTTTAAAACTTTAAGAGCTTTTAAATCGAAAAGAAATTGTACTTAGAAAATAAAGTTGAGAAGGGAAATATTATTAATAACACAGAAGCACATACAACATTGAATAGGCCAAACTTCGACTAAGCTCAATATGTTACGAAGGATTATAGCTCTTTAGCATCTGAATCATTCAAGTCTTATTTGAACAGTATTTTTAGTAATGATTATTATCAGTTCGGGTAAAATATCTGAAATGAGCGAGAAGCAGTTTTAGTGGTTTATAAACAATAAAAATAAGAAAAAAAATCAAGTGAAAGAATTTTGATACATACCTTTGTTCAAAGGATCTTCTGGGTTTGGTTCCTAAGAAAAAGCAAGCCAGATTACATATTACTGGTTCTAAATCGTCATGAGGACAAAACTGTAATACTACTTTATGTCTTGGAAAATGGCATATTTAAAAAAAACCTGTTTTGATTGAAAACTTACACCTTGTAACTATAGACGGAAATTTAGTAAAGCAAATTCAATTGCATCAATAGCTTTGAGCTCTTCCACTTGAGATTTCCCAACCTAGTTCACAAACTTTTTTCCTAACCTTTTAACAGACAGTCACACTCGCCCAAACATATTACGTTTGTCGAAAAAAACCTGAGTTACTTTAGGTCAGTTCATTATTCTGTTTCAGTTAAATTTCTAGACATATGACATATTTCTAGACTAGACTCCTCTTCAGTGGATAGATTTTCACGGAGAAAGGAGAAATTAAACTTTCTAGCATCAAGAAATGTGAAAAATACAATTCGATGGTTAGCTTACCAAAAATAAATACTGCAAGCCATAAACTATTGAGTTGATGGTCAGTACAGGCTTCCAATCTTCTCTAGAAAAAATGATACAAATGACACTGTAAATGTGTTCAATGTCCAAATTATTGATAAGTTAGTAAATGATATTGCATAGATTCTAACTACAAAAAATTAATCCCAGGTAGAAAAAAATTGTAAATGAAAATCAAAGATCTTGAAAACTAGAAAATACAGTGATAGAGAATTGTTTTTACAAAGAACATCATATTTATGGATTATTTCAATCTAGGCGTTCTTTTTTGGGACAACATGTAGTTCCTTACACATAGTTGATGTATAGACAAACAACAGTGGTTGATACCAAAATACAAAGTCATAAAAAGTAAAAAAAGAGGAGGTTATGCAAACTTGTTTTAAATAGAGTTAACACCAAAGTTAACTATACACATGCTTTGACAGGAACATTGATATTTCTAAAAACATTTGCAAGGCAATTCATTTTGATAGATGCGCAAACTTTTTTTCTTCATTTTATGCCAGTTTTTGTGTGTGCCTGGGCAGGGGGGGGCTGCCTATGTGTGGAGCACATTTTTCTCAAGGCAGAAGTAAGCACGAATACTGACTTGAAAAAGGACACTGCCATTATTATAAACAACTCCTTTGTTTCTGAGATACTCTTGTACAAAATTGCAGGAAGACAACTGTTGCCCATAGCTTATTAGAGACCCATTGTCAAATTGTTAAAAAAGGCTAAGTATATTTTTGTCAAATTTCCAAGCCTTATAATAAGGGTGCTGTCAATTAATAGGGGCATCTTGTACACAGGTTTTTGATGGAAGTAATTCAAAACCATTATAACTTTTTGTTTTTGCATCTTTAAGTCTTTGCAGTTAAAAAATTCAAAAAAAATGTTTTTGAACACACAAATTTGTGATTTTGTTGATTCATATCTTTTGAATAAAACAGAGAAATTGAATGCCTTACCTGAGAATGTTAAGACAAACGTTTCCTTCAAGATCAATATTTGGATGATAAACCTGAAGTGAAGAGATATTTAGTATTTATGCAAAAAGTAAGTCCAAGTCAAAAAAGCAATATGCTGAACTACATATGCTGAAACAGGCCATAGAAGAGGGGATTATGATGATGGTGATAATATAGAAGCTCACGTGAATGAAGCAAAGCAGGAAGAAGGAAAAAAAGAAAGGGGTAGGATAGCGGAAGAAAAAAATCTACGGAGAAAGGAGCATGAGATTAGCAAATGGAGAGCAAGGTCATCGAAGATGAAAGGGATAATTTAATAGGTAATACTAGGAAAACTTGGTTTGACAACAGTTCAAAAAGTGAAACAGAAAAAGAAAAGGGCAAATAAAGTACTAAGCAATAGATTAGATTTTTCTTTTTTATCCAATCATAATCGTTAATTTTAAAAAAATCAATTTTTCACAGGTAAATGAAAGGCTACAAAACAAAATGCAGTAACTCACCATAGTTTCACATTTAACTTTTGGTGGTTCATGAGGGTAGTTTGGACCAACCTGAAAAGATAATTAAATGTCAAACCTACAAGACTACAACAAAAAGTCGGATCATCATTAAGGCCTTCAACTTGATTCAGAGAACGATAACAAAAAAATTTAAATATTGTCCCAATTCAAGGGCATACAAGAATAAGAAAATAGAGATGCAAAACTTTAAAATTCATTTTTTGCTTTATCTTAGAGTAAGGCAATATGTTGTACAATAAGGAAACCAAAATTCCAATTTATATGTCCAACTAATATAATATTTTTCTACAACTTCCCAAAAATCTATGATATTCCTAACTTCCTTTCTTGACATGTTTGCATTAATAGACCCTATCATAGAGGTCGCTAATGATGGAAGTCTTTGCTATATATACTTTTATATTCGAAAAGTATTGCACCACTTCCATGAAGGAGTAATGGCAACAAAGTTGTGAACAATATGACCTTTGAAATTCAAACCACTTTTGTAAAGCCATTCGACATCAGTTTAAAGTTGAAAACCAATCAAATATAACTTAAAAACACTGACAACAATTTAAATTCAATATTTGAGAAAAATATATTTTTGGAACATCAAAAAGGTAAATTTTTTATTGGCGGTCTAGAAGCTTTGAAACCTCTGACAACTTGCTAAATTTAATCAAAAGATTTAGCTGCAGGTTATTTTATATGTCACATGATTATTTTAAAAAAAATTGCAAGATCACATTCTGAGATCACAGATGATCATTACTGTCCTTGAATTTTGTAGAAAGGACACCTTTATGGATGTTCTTAAGTGAGGACTCTTCCATGTTACTGAGGCAATTTTGTGTATTTGTTTGCAACTTTTTATCGCAGAAATTGAGGGATTTTCATTCAACGAGATGAGATGTTGTTTTTAGCAATCTACAACATCATCTGTTCCCTGAACATTATCCCAATGGACTGGAAAACATGAAATTAAAGACCAGTAACAGTTTTCACTTATTGAATTCCTTTGTCAGATGCTAGAAAATGGTCTTTGAAATTAGGCCCGTTGCAGAACAGAAAACATGCATTAAAAAACTCTTTAATAACAGTCTGGAAAATTAAAAGCTTCACGCACAGGAGCATAAAGTATATATCTATGATTTTTTTGAATGAAATCTTACAAGTTTGTGCTAAGAAAAAGCTTTTATTGCAGCACTACAGCACTGTCATTTTGTGGCAGGTGGTGCCATACTTTTCAAATATAAATGTATTTTACTCTAAACAATTTTAAATAACGATATCTGCTGCAACAGGTAGGGCTATTCAAGAACGATAATGAAACCAGTATAACATATCAGAAAAAATTAACATTTATTTCTTATTCAATAATTAGGTTACCTTGAAACTAAAGGTGAATTTTCCAGTTTTGTAGAAACCCTAAACAGAATGAATACAAATTATTGTTAAATAAAGACAAAACGTTTAAAATAAAATAAATCAGGCTTTCGTGGAATAACTCAAGAGACTGCACAAGATTCAAGCTACAGACATGGTGACATGTGAACATATTATTTCCTATATGGAAGGTGGAAATATAACTGAAATGAAATCATTAATTTTTAAGTTCTTTCTCTTTTGAACTTTCAACATAACTGCTCTTTTGATTTACCTTTTTCTGTTAATACGGAAAAACATACAGAACTGTATCAGAACTTTTTCATTAGACAACAAAGATTTGGCTGTGGAATTTTTATTGATTTACAGAAGGCCTTCAATTCAGTCAATCATGATTTACTTCTAAACACATTGGAACACTATGGCATCAGAGGCACTGCATTAAGTTGGTTTCCCTTCTACCTCAATAACCGCAAACCAGTCAGTTAATGCCCATCCCTCTTTTCTCTCTAGCATATCATGTGGTGTTCCCTAAGGATCTGTTCTTGGTCCATTATTATTTCTAATCTACAATAATGATCTACCAAATTTCTCTCAATTTCTATCCTTTTTCTCTTTTGCTGATGATACAAACATTTACTGTGAATCTAATGATCTTCAACCACTAACGAAAAAAGTTAACAGAGAACTAAAAAAAGGTCAAGTGTTGACTTGATTCTAACAAACTTGCACTTGATGCTGGAAAGACAAATTTTGTACTATTTCATAGTCCCAGGAAGAAATTGACAGAGAACATTGACCTCAAAGTTGGTAAACACCATATCCAAAGGACTAATCACCTGAAATTTTTAGGGGTTATTATGGACGAACATTTGTCTTAGAAGTTCCAGATAACTGAACTCTGCAAAAAACTCTCAAGAACTGCTGGTACTCTCCCCTTGCTGACTCTTATCGCTCTCTTTAACTCACTATTTTCATCCATCCTCAACTATGGGATCTTGGCTTGGGGGCTCACTTATGATTCCTACTTAGAGCCACTCTTTCATCTGCAGAAGAAAGTACTGTGTTGTATTAAATTTGAATCTTTTTCTTCTTCTATCACACCAATTTTTCAATCATTAAGAATTTTGAAACTTAAGGATGTTCTTCACCGCAATATCTTAACTTTTGTCTAAAAATTGATCAATACTATCTCCTCCTTGCTTTCATGACTAGTTCCAGCCTAATGCAGCTATTCATAAGACTAGGACCCGTCAGGCTACCAGAGGTGATATTTTCAAATCTCTTAAAAATACTACCTTACATGGTCTACAATTAATTCAAGATTTTGGTTCTAAACTTTGGAACACTTTTCCACTTTTCATACACACTGCTAATGCTGTTTTAGTATTTGTTTCGAAATTAAAATCTTTCTTCATTGACTCATATTCCCAGAACTAATTCAATGTTACTTAAAACCTTATCTCAGAAAGGTTCATCTGGCTTTGGTTATCAATCTGTCTTGTTCTTAAAAATGTTTTTATTTTCTTTCTGTTTCTTTTATAGGGGGTGGGCTCTCTCTCAATTAGTTCATCTACTTAGAGAGCTCCTCCTTAGTCATTCAATCCTATCAAATACAATCATGTAATGTGTCTTTTTGTGCTCATTTTAGTAAATGTTGTTTGTATTTTAGTTTTAGAGTATTAACATTGAATTGTTTTTAGAATTGTATGATAAAAAACTGAAACTGAACTGAAACTGTTAAGGAGAAGTTGCTATTTCGAATAAAACTAGTTAATCTGCTAAGAAAGAAGAATAGAATACAGAAAATGTGATAGAATGCAGCTTATCATGCACACAACCCCAAATTCCATTCAATTGATTTAATCAAATAGAAGTTATTGAACTTTTTACCTCATCGGGGCAAATAACAAGTTTAAAATTGAGCAAGTCATCTGGATCAGGAAATTCTGTCTGGCATGTCTTTGGCAACTGTAACTCATTCAGATCTGTAAAACAATGAAAATGACTGAAAAAACACAATCAGAACAGTGGAGTTTACAAGGACATTGTGTATTTAGCTTGCTACAAACTGGCATCAAACCAGCCAGTTTAGATAACATTAATATTTATTCCAGACTATATATATATAATATATATACTCTGTTAGATAATCACTCAATACTTTCAAATCTATAGAAGCCTGCGCGGGTGTACCCACTTGACATTCTATTTAAAAAGAAAAATTCATTATCATCTATTCTATATTTTAAGTCCAATACTTTTTTTGGGGGTGGCCGGTTGCTTACACCCAGAGGAATCTTATATTCTGCTGGCTCTAACTGGTGTCCTAATATGCAAAGCAATAAGCAAAAAATTGTGCAAATATGAAAAACGTTCTTTCTGTGTGATGTGTTTGAAAAGGTACTTCAAAGATTTTATTCCAATGCACATTTTGCAATTTCTGCTAACTAGGTCAATTGCAATGTGTCACATTGCACAAAAAGTACGCAAATGTTTTATTCCTCACCATAGGAAACAGGCTTTAAAAAATGAAACCAAACACTAAGTCTGTTTGGAATTTCGGCTGCAAACTCATAATGTTTGTGACAAAACTGAATAACTGAAACCAGATAATTAACAAGTTGATTTTAAAATTCATCAAAAGTGCAAATTTTCTTAGTCATTGCAATTCATTTCCTCTTGAATAAAGAACGGAAATGACGTTTTCAATGGCAATCTCAATATTCTCCAGTTAGTACCCAGACTTCCAACTGAAAACTCTATTATTCAACTTAGCAGGGTAGGGCCTAATCCTGAAAATAGGATAAATATGTGTGAAATTTTCCCCTCAAATAGCAGAAGATGATGCAGGTGTAAAATTGACGACAAAACATACAAGAATATCGTACCTTTTTGTATCCGAAGCTGTGCTGCTGAGGCACGCTTAGCTCCGGGCTTCCCAGCCTCGCCGTCTCGTTTTTGTTGTTTCAACGAGAATAATTTAATCATCTTTCGTTATTCCTTGAACAAACTTAGCTATTACGTTGAATTTACACTGTCCTTTTGTCTAGTTTTCATTTACTAAACGAAAACCTAGCAACATTGTTGTTCCAAATTTTGGTAACTCATCCTCTGGTATGCGAAGTAGTAGACTGTGATACAGACCTCGTCTTGAAACTGAGTTTAACAACACAAAACATTGTTTGATCTCAGATTTATCTCAGCATATGCTTTGTGCACTTCAGAGTAAATAAGGTCACTGAAAAAGTAAGTGTTTTCGGTATCAAATATGAGTTTATTATGATCTGTTCTGTATCTGTATAAATATTGGTATATTCTTCAATAGCTTTAAATGTGTACAGATATGTTTAAGTCGAAGGCAAGTTTAAACTCAATTTTGATCTAAATCGTAGTGTGATTAACAAATTACGCACTCGAGGGCTTTCAAAAATCTATTTCTTGAGTAATAATCTAGTCTCTGTTTTATGCAATCCTTGAATAAAATGTTAGGGAAACATCAGAAGAACCAAATTTGAATTCGACTATGCTAGGCGTTAGATGCTAAATTCTTCTAATACCTCCCTCCAGCAACTTCAACATCTCTGGACTCCAAGACTAAGAAGATGAAAATCTAGTTATATCTGAATGCACTAAATGTTAATTGACAAAATAAAGGTTGTATCTACCTTGTTTCCCCATTCGTTGTGCTTTTAACTTCTGAGCTAATGCCAGAGGGCTCAAACCTAGAGCCTTCATTTCTGGAACAAGCGAAAACCTTATCCCTCTTCAGTGCCGGGAAAAAAACGTGCTTCGAATTTACAACCGAAAAGTCGAGCTTCACATTATTGGGCGATCATAAGCCAAGTAAAAAATCAATTTCAATTTTGTAAACCAAGGCAAACAATCGAAGCAGCTTTTCACAAAAAGCACTGTAAAACAGATAGCACTGTTTTAACGAAGGTAGTTAAATATCCTTAAGAAATCCATCAGGCTGCAATGCTCAATCGTATTTTCTTTGAAATTTCTATTGCATCCACTGAAATTGATTCTGATAGGCCATTTTAAGTTCGATTTCTCTTAGGGTCGTGAATATTACTTTTCAAGCTTAGAGAAACTTGAGTCCCTAAAATTTTTGTTCAAAAAAATCAATTTAGATATTGTAATAGTTATCCGGATTTGTCAACTAATCTTGCAGAAACGGGCATCTTCAAATCTCTTCAACACATCAAGAGAAAAATCAAACCAAATTGTTTGTTCGCATTGGTTGTGGTAATATTCTCGTTAAAATATGAACAACACAAACTTACAACGAATATTAGTCGACGAATACACATTATAATAACACGGATAAATATCAATTCATTAATAAAACGAAACCCTATTAAGTATATGGAATTTTAGAATGACTATGCTGGACAGGAATTGCAATACTATACATACATACACGACAAGACAACATTGGACAGTTAGCGCGGCGAACGAGTTAAAAGCATAATTGATACAAAAAGGCTGACACAATAAAGTTAAAATGATCTGGAAAAGAGGCATGGACCAAGACCGTGTATGACACGGAGGTACGACACCAGAAAATTACAAAGGAAGTGGAGCCTTCAAGTCTTAAAGAAAGGGAATATAGGCAGCTACATGGGTAGATAAGAAGGAATAAGAAGAATATACATTAATGATAGTTCCAAATTATTGGAATTAGGCCTAGCCTATGCATTAGGTAATTTTTTAGAAATGATGTTTTTATGTTCGAAAAAGCCTTTGTTCAATTGGAAAGGTATCTGGTAAAGGTATCTTTGTTCAATAGGAAAGCCCCGATAGAAAGACAAAAACTGTAACGGCATTGTATCCTGGTGATATATTTTAAAGGAGCCGATTGTGTTTTTTTTACAAGAGGATACCATTTTAGGAACTCAGTAGAAATTGCCTTTAATTCAATAAGCAATTTCAGGCTTTCCAAAAACAAAAATTCAAAGGAAGGGGGTGTTATTCCTGACGATCAATATCTTTATCATTAAGAATTATCGCCTTATTGGACGACAAGTATGCATTTCTAAATTGCTCCTCTTGTTTCAAAGATGTTGAAAAAACTCTGTTTATCAATTCCTCTCTTACTCTCTTCTCTAAATCAAATAGGTGTTCGTCTTGAACCCCCATCTTTCTGACTGCTTTTGCCAGCTCAAGTAAATATTCGCTGTTGTATCCACTTGGTCCCACTGATGTTGCTATTTGCTTCGCTATTTCAGCCGGGGGTGCATCACCAAGGAACTCTTCATTGTCCTCTGTTGCGATATAGACGTAGACTGGGAACCGCAATAGCCCAGCCTCCTTTGGATGAAAGTCTACGCTGTGCAAGGAGTAGCCTCCTTTTTCACGGTGGTTCAAGTACGCCATCACCTCTGGCACTGAGGCAGGAAGCACTTGATAGGCCATACCCCACGTGATTTCCTATAAAAGAGTACAAAGACTTTTAAAAATTGTAATTTCCACCATTTCAACCCCCTTCCATATTACAGCTTTACTAAATACCAATATTGTAATATTTCAGTTACAATCTTAAAGTGATTGGAGGTACAAAAACTTTCAATGGAGAAATCAACATTGTAAGAGGGCAGAGGAAAAGAAATAACAAATACGTTGATGACTTGAAGAGATAGTGAAATTGCGGGGTTGTCAACTTTTGAACGTGATTATTGTGGTGTTCCAGCTACTTTTGGCCAGGATTATTGCTTGAAATTTGCAAAGTTTACTTGCAAACTAGGTTTGAATATCAGAAAGCAGAATGGTGTTTGAAATGTCATGAAAGCGAAGTTGAATAGCAAAATAAAAGAAGTGTCCATCTTGAACAAATGGTAGAAGCGTTGCTCTTCTTCTCGGAGCCAAAAACAAAAAGATGGTGTAGATTGGTGGGTCCTCGAAAGTAATTGTCATGAGATATTGAATAAAAATGAAGAATGTAAAATTCCACTAACCTCATCTTTTGGTATAAGAGTAACAACTCTTCCGGGCTGAAAAACAGAAATACTTCAATTCAATATTTGCACGCTTAAAGATCCGAGGTGCAAATCAGTGGCGGCTCCAACCTGGGATAAATGGGGGGGGACAAAAGGTGTGTCATGGACCACGCCCTTTTGGACCACGCCCTTTTTCCATGATTGAAACATTTTCTTCCGGAGGATACAACTCTTGTCTCCCAAGAAATGTCATTTAAATGTGACGATCTAGATAACGTACATATCGCCCCCCCCCCAAAGTTTTCTCATTAGGTTTGCAAGAATCTAAAGGACCAACTTTCTGAAAAAGTGGGGGGACTAGTCCCCCCATTCCCCCCCCTGGCTCCGCCACTGGTGCAAATCAACTTATAGAAATCACATACACCTTTGGTGAAAATGAATTCCCTATCCTTCAGAGAGAGTCTATTGTGGAATGCCCTTAGCGATGAATTCAAATTGACAAGGTAAGGTAATCATGAAATCCTAAAAAAGAACGCTCCTGGGATGCAAGTAACTGTACGTGCAATTGTCCTTTAATTCAATTTAAAACTCTAAATGTATTTTGTAAACTGCTATAGGGATGTAAACTCGAAAATAGGAGGCAATCGAACAAATTCTGCAGAAAACTTTTACGTTGAAGAAGGTCAAAAACGGACGGCTAATGGAGTCCCGGTATATTTTTCAGAAGGGATTGGTCACTCTTGGCAACCTTGCAAATCAGCTTTCGAAATGTAACATTTTTTTTTCATTCAAGACATTGCGAACTAAAAGCGACATTATGTCAGTCGAAATACCTTACCAAAAGGCGCTGTTCATATGTCTATTTTTATATTGTTGAAACTGAGGGCCAGGGCCGACGACAGGGGGGGGGGGGAAGAGAGCAAATTTCCCCAGGGCCTCGAGGTCTAAGGAGCCTCAAAAAGTAATGAATTCCATTTTAAGAATGGAATTAATCAGACGTAGCAAATGTATGCCTTAAAATTTTAAACTATTTTAGCGAAAAGTTTTAAACCATTGCAGGAAAATGATTGTAATAAAAGTTCTGAAATGCTTTTTAAGCTGGTCTGAAGGGCATGGTTGCAAAAATTTTCTGCTTTGCTCCGCTCGCATGGGGGTCTCTTCTCTCGGTTTTGCCCCAAGGCCTCCGAAACCTCTCGGCAGTCCTGATGAGAGCCACTATTTGGAAAATTGAAAGTCGGTATCATTGGGGAAATTTATCTCCAGCATTAGTGAGTAGTGACGTTACTTTGTTGTCTCAGAAATCCACTTTTTCGATGGATAATCTCTTTTTATAATACATTTACGTGATTGTAAACACAGATTACTGTCAGCTGATATTTTCTACAAATAGAACCTGTTCAATAGATTCATTTGTCTATTATGAAATAAAACATTTCTTTGACACTTCTTTCATAGCAGCTTATTTCATTGCAAATCATAGACCCACCCCAGGGAAAAATTAAATGAGAAGGAGGTAGCGAAAGAAAGCCAAACGAGGAAACTTGCAGGGGCATAGCTAGCGGGGGGCTACTGTGTAGGGGGAGGGGTGCTACTGTGTAGGGGGTGCTACTGTGTAGGGGGGGCTACTGTGTAGGGGGAGGGGTGCTGTAAAACGACACTATTTTACAGTTGCCCTGGTTAGTCCAGTACAAAAGAAACAACAGTTTATTTCAACAAGAACCAGAATATATGAATAATCAGCGATAAAAACCACAAGCAATAGTTCAGCAATTTAATACAACAAGCAATATTCGTCAGCGGCAATAATGTTCGGCGGGTACACTGTACTGAATTCGACGGTTAACTGCAACTTCATAAAACGGAACAGCTTCGACACGACTTCACTTCTCGGCTTTACACTACGACTCAATATAACGACTTTCCTTGACGGCTTTAACTAACGACTGCCTCAACATAAAACAGCATGGCAATATAATGAGTAACACATGACCAAGAGACAATAGGACGCTGACAACAAGTGATGGCAACTAATGAGAAATGGCATGGCAACAGATTACAGATTAACAAGAGGAACATCACTGACACGCAACAGGAAAATCTATTGATTAACATTGCTCCCTCCTTCCAAGACAAGCCTCCTGGCTTGAATTTTCAAAAGAGAGCAACACAAATCAAATCAACAACAAATGATAAAACAACACAAAACAGAACATGAACAATACCCAGATATCAATATTACTGTTCTTTAATCTTTAATACGCTAAGTAAACCAGTTTTCAGGCGGAGTTTTCTCTGCACCACAGGCAAGTCCTGTTCGAGTTGGTGGAGGTAGCATCATGGGTCCATAGGAGTTTGAAACCACATCTGTTTTCATTTTCACGGATCTTTGAGAGGGTTGGACAAGAATTTTGCTTGCGACACTAATCTTATTGACAACCGTCAGCAAGGCTTCTCTAACTATTGGAGCCTCGCTCATATCAAATTCTGTTCCATTTTCAATTAGATGCAGCCTTTGTGTCTCCAAACTCTTTAGAAATTCGTCAGCGATATTTCTTAGTCTCATACAGCACTGCAAAACGTTCAAAACACAGTCATCGTCCTGATTTAGACCTTGATCTTCTCCCTGTTCTGTTTTCTGTGAGTTTGTGGCAGCAGCTAAGTGGTCTTCAATAACCAGGCTACTGTTACGAGGGAGCTGATACTTTTCTGGCAAGAGTTGATAGTCGTTTCTATTCGATTCGAAAATACTCTGACGCTTTCTGCAGTATTTCTTGACATGTCCGACTCTTTTGCAATAAAAACAAATCGGAAGCCCGTTTAATGTTCGGAAATTACCGAGAATGTATTTTATATTTTGCGTCTGCATTGATGACTCAGCAACTTCATGACGAATCGCACCAACAATCTCCTGCTTTAAATCCTCAAGCCAATAGGTGGAAAATGTTGTGCCCAGGCTATCCATGATTTAATTGATAAAATTTACCAGCCTGTCCCGGGTCACGGCACCAATGTAAAACGACACTATTTTACAGTTGCCCTGGTTAGTCCAGTACAAAAGAAACAACAGTTTATTCCAACAAGAACCAGAATATATGAATAATCAGCGATAAAAACCACAAGCAATAGTTCAGCAATTTAATACAACAAGCAATATTCGTCAGCGGCAATAATGTTCGGCGGGTACACTGTACTGAATTCGACGGTTAACTGCAACTTCATAAAACGGAACAGCTTCGACACGACTTCACTTCTCGGCTTTACACTACGACTCAATATAACGACTTTCCTTGACGGCTTTAACTAACGACTGCCTCAACATAAAACAGCATGGCAATATAATGAGTAACACATGACCAAGAGACAATAGGACGCTGACAACAAGTGATGGCAACTAATGAGAAATGGCATGGCAACAGATTACAGATTAACAAGAGGAACATCACTGACACGCAACAGGAAAATCTATTGATTAACAGTGCTACTGTGTATGTAGTAGGATTAATACTTTGTTTATCACTCTATTGTTGTAATTGCACATGCGCACTGTAAATAGTATAAAAGTCTTGTTGTTGTAATTAAGAAGAGAGTTGTTGAGTTGCAGAAGAATGATTATCTTGTAATGATATTTGCGTGTTGATATTATGGTGAAAATTACAAAGTTGAGTTTCCCTTAGTGTGAAACTAAATATAACATAAAGCTCTACCACAGTTTGGTGTAGGACCCGGTTTGTGCTAATAAATAGCCGACCGTTGATCTCGTTTTTTTTTAATGTCTCAAGCGTCGCCGGAAGAAGTTCTTGGTTTGATTAATGGCTTGGCAGGTGTTGTAAAAACCAACCAAATTCTTCAAAATGAAGCCAGCAAAGCAACAGCCGATCAACTGTCTGTTTTGGCGAAAGCCGTTGCTGATTTGTCGCAGACCGTTGCTGCCTTGAAGCCACCGTCTTCTTCAACTGCGTTGCGACTGCCTAATTTAAGTTTGCCAAGTTTTACCGGCAAGGAAGACTTGGATCGTTTTGCTGAGCAGCTGACAGCGGTGCTACAATCATCTGGTGTTCCTCCATTTCAATGGTTGCCCTATTTAAAGCAGCAAGTGGCAAAAGATGCCCGTGCTTACGACATAATTTGCAGTCAGGAATCGAAGAGTTCTTGCCCTTCGCTTGATGCTAGTGCCGATGATCATCGTCAATGGTTTGAAGTTTGTCTCAGAGTTTTGTTGGACCAGCGCGGAGTTCCAAGAGATCAGCGTATCCGCCAGCTTCTGTCCACGTATTATACCATGGCACAGGGACAAGCAGAAACAGTGGCTGACTTTGCCCATCGTTTTCAGGAAACGCAGCATGCCTTAGAAAAGCTGGTTCCAGGCATTCACCGTCCGGCTGCTGGAGATGATCTCGAACTGATGCATGCTTTTGCTATCAAACTAAAAACGGAGATTTCGACAGAACTTCTTAGCAGAGATTTCGCTTTTCCGTCTCTTGCCGCCCTCATCGAAGCAGCAAAAAGGTATGAACTTCGGGTTCCTCTTGTAGTAGAAATACAGAAAAATTTTGTTGAATGGCAGCCTGAAGCACATTTTTCAGCTCCTCAGAAGACAAATACTAATGTTGCTGAAAAACTTTGTCGTAATTTTAATAAATTTGATAAGGTTCATTGCGAGCTTCCAAATGGTTTATGCTCAAAAGGATTTATTCACCGTTGCACTATTTGTCGCAAATTTAATTGCAAGGCTAAGTTTCACAGCAACCGTAAATCTGATTCTCCAGCTCAGAATAAGAGTTATCGTTTTAATAGTTCACGGAGAAGTCGTTATAATAACTTGCCTAATCACCACGTATCTAATGTTGCTACTACTTCTTCTGATTCACGTCAGAATGTCGAAGAACCTCCACGTTCCACTTCCGCCACACCCGCCTCTTCACAGCAAGATCATCTTTTTGGGTTACCAGCCATAGCTTCCCCGCCCTCTGCCTTAGTAGTTTCTGGGGTTGATCTTGCTGCTAAAACCATTTTGTGGACCAGAGTTATCTCTGCAGGCGTTTCCCTCCCGCTTC